CCTTCAAAATAAGGGTGCGTCTTATATTCCGAAAAATACAGTAATTGAAAAGACAACAAAAAACATTACAATAAAAAGTTTTACCATCTCGTTACAGAATCTTCAATGGCATTAGTTAGAGCATGTCCAAGATGCAAATTTCCAGTGACATTGGGAGGAGGTATGATCATGATAAATTTTCCTGATGGGTTTGGTTTTTCTAAGGATTTTCCCTGAAAATTAATAAAAGTAGCTCATTATAAGTAATTGGTATAGAAGGAAATACAAAACAGAGATGATGCTAAAATGGACTGACACACAAAGAAAAAGAGGAGAGGATAATCATTCTGGACTTCATAAAAAAAATGTTACTCAAAAGAAAATTCTGTTTCACTTTGAAACATTCAATGATCTTACTAAAATCAATTTGTTTTCACTAGATGCTAAATACAATTTTAGAAAATGCAAGTAGCAGCAATTAACAAGTTAACCAGTTTAGCCTTCTGATAAACAATATTAAACTTGTTTCATACATCAGCAATTATCCTTTAAGTAATATCAAGCTTTTTTTCTCTTCCATTAAGTATTATCACTTTTTTCCTAGCAATTCTACACTGAAAAATGAACTGAATAACTTGAAATATTACAGCATAACATTCTGTCAAATATTCAGGCTGGTAACAGTTGCTTATCTAGCAACCCAAGATAACCACAAATCATCATCAGGCAATAAACTGTCCAGCAGCCAATCTATTATCACTAGCATAAACCTACAATTAATGATCTAAAGTATAAATTTTTCTACCAGTTTACTGCTTTGAACACGTTTAAACACCCAATGGAACAAAATTATGGTTTTAACAGTTCAAAATTAGAGTATCAGTGTTATCAATTTCATCTCTCTTCTGCTCTCAATTATTTTCATTATTCTTTATTCAGTGACAACTTCTGTTGTTAACTAATGCAAAAAATAAAATTGTAGATAGTGAAAAATATGTTCATTTTCAAGTATCTTGAAAACTACCCTAAGTCTCTAAAAAAAATGTTTGCTCACCAAACTGGTTTCTTCAGTTACCACCATGTTTACTGGAAACTTAACTAAAAAGTTAATCTGTAAGAATCAACAAAACAATATTTTGACTATCACAACATAGGTTGTGCTAGGTTTCACCTCACATGTGTATTAGTGTCAATACATGTTTGTATTTGTACATTTGTTCATTCTTCTGAAAGCATCCAACATCATTCAGTGTTATATTAAGTATTTAACCAATTGTGCACGAGCTTGGTCCATTGGACTGACCTCCTATTGGAAAAGAAACATTGATTATAATCCTGAATTTACTATATGTATCTTATGAGAGAGAAAACTCAAGGACAGTAGCATGCATAAAAACTCAAAGGAATAGCTACTGTGAGCAGAGATGTATAGATATCATTTTGGAAATGGTACTATTATGGAATATCACACTGATGGGTCATACCCTTGGAGGTGAAAATGATGATTAAAAGCCTAATTGTAACATCTTCTCTCAATTAATGTCCAAGCCTTGTGTAAATTCCATATAAGGAAAAGGCAAAGGTGTTATGTCACCAATGGAGGCCAACTTAGCCATGGTATCAGAAAGCTTGTTCCCTTGGATACCGACATAGGCAGGAATCCAGAAAAACTGGATGACTGATGATAGAATGAAGTGGGCCAGTCTTTACTAAATATCTAAGAGAACCAATTGAGAATTAATATTAATCAATTCAAGGGCCTTTAACCCCTTAAATACCGGGGCCATTTTGTCTTATCGTGAGAGCAAAAATCACATTTGTGAATTGAAAGAATTATAGAAACTTATCTTTTATTGGGTTTTCAGATTTTACTTTTGTAAATGGTAACATAACATTTAGTTATTTGTACTAAATTGCATTATTTATAGAAGTTTGAAGAGAAATTTAATTAAAAAAATCTCAAAATATGTTAGAAACTATAAATAAGCACCCTTTAAGGAAAAAATAATTTTAAAACATTTTTTTCAATTTTTTCCTTGCACTTTAGCACTTGTTCTGCCATCTATGATTGGTATTTAAACCTTTTTCTAGCCTGTTTTCATTATAAAGCAGCATCTGGACGTATTAAACCTCAGTTGTAAAACTTTTAGCCAATCCTATTTGAAAGTGTCAATTTCAGTATCCTGTTATTCCAATTGTTGTATTTCATGTGTAACAAATCATGGGATGATAAACAAAGCACGTGACGAAATTTTGTCCTATGGATTTTACAATATGAACGTGTGTGGTAGTTATTATAATAACTGCCATTTTATGTAGAGGTTGTACTTTGTAGTGATCAATAGTAATTTTTTTTTACAAGCCTTAGAAAATTTGCTTCTGGAAAAAACTGCGTGGGATGTATGTGATTTTTATTGTTTTCTATAGTAGCTTAAATCGTGCTCCATCATATATCTATTTATATTAATTATTACATCTCAAAATGAATTCAAAATGGATATATTTTGGGGAAAGAAGTTGATTCAAGAATGTTAGGGTTAAGATCTATTGATTGGCAAGTGCATAGTCGTTACATGGATTAGGCTTAGCACTTTGAACTGAAGGAGTTTGTAATTTTTCATATTCTTTTGCATTTAAATTAGCAGTTTTAAGTTCAATAATTTAGCATAATTTTATACTTAGTTCATAGTAAAAATATGATTTAGTATTTAGATGATAAATGTCTGATTTGTATGTACTACTAGTACAACTTCGATAGTTTTAGGCTTATCGTAAGAATTTTATATTTTTCTTTCTTACTATCATTACTTAGTAAAACCCACACTTCTGTTGTTCTTTTACAAATAAAACATACTAACTGATATATATATATATATATATATATAAATAGTTTATTCTGATATTTTGCAAAGGGTTTAAAAAAATAAAGATAAATTACAAAAAAGTATACACAAAAGTTACAAATCAAGATAACATACATACAAAAGGAGCATC